ATGTTCTGTTTTATGAGTGAAAAAAAATGAAGGGAAACCACCATGGCAAGAGTGGTTGAAAAAATATATATATATGATAATAGTGAGGAATCACGGTGAAGAATAGTGCTTCACAAATTCCAAATAATTGTCATAGATATGTGCAAGTGCAATTCTGCCGAGAAAAGTTGATAAATTATATTTATAGGATTCTTAGCCATATTTATGCTACTTATATAATTACTTTTTAGTTCAATTAGTTAGTTTAAAAGTCGCACTAGCATAAATTTTATTATCGTGTTGTATACCTTTTTTTTTTTGTGATTCTCTTAGTGTTTCAATCTTTCAAGTGATTTTTATAGCCATTTGTATGCTTTCAAAGTGTTTGGAGTTGACTCGGATAATTGACGGTTGATTTGTATTGTAAATGACATGTCGATTGAAGAAATTAATGGTTTGCAATCAATTCTCGGATCGCGAGCTTTGATATGTTAGTCGTGAAGTGTGTTGTATGAGTCTACGACTTAACGTAGATGACATGGTTTGAATTGAGTATTTGAAGGCAATAATCTTGCAAGCAAGGCTTAGCGCCGATGAGCCAAGCAATCCGTGTTTTGAAGTTGCGCCCGCATGCATGCTAGCTGCTTCCTCAAGCATTTACAAGCAATCGACAAGTAACGAATTTGCCTTGCCTGCAGTGTTTGCTGCCCTCATAGCCCGTTAGATGCGCACGACTTGCGTGTTGGTTCATTATTGTTGATTCGTCATCACCGTTAGTCCATCGTTAGCTTATGCACTTTTTATTTTCTTATTTATTTTCTTCAATTATTATTTTATTAGAATTTAAGGGCTTTTTTTGTGTAAGAATTTAAGTGCCTATAAATACTCCAAGGAATTATTATTTTACATTTTATCATTTTTACGTTCGTTGTAGTTTTCTCTAAAATTCTAGTTTCTCAATAGCATCTCCATGGATGATTCTTGGGTTTATTATTTCAATTCTTAGAAGTATCTTTTATTCCTTTTTCTTAACTTATTTATGCTTTTAATTACGTTTTCTATTTTAGATTTAGTTTTTATTGTTTATTTCATGTTTGAGTAGTTTATTTTCTAGGGTTTGGAAATCCATATGTTTATACAATGAATCTTGATTAATTAATATTTGTTGGTGGTTTGATTAAGCTTTAATATCTCTAACTGATAGCCTTTTCTATTAATCTTGCAATCTGATTAATTATTTGATTAATTCATGTTAATATAAGTTTGAATCGAAAAATAATACTAGTTATAAAGGCTTACATACAATTAGCAATTTAGATTATGTAGCAATTACACTAGATACTTGGTTAATTTGATCGAATTGATAATGATAATTTAATATATTAAAAACTAAAAGCATGGTGAACCACAACCTAGCTTAGGTTTTGTAATATCAACTTTTTAATTATAATATATATTAATATGAGTAGATTTTAACTATATATTCACAATAAAAGTTATGTATCGACAAGTGTGTCATTCAAAAGAAAAATTCCTCTTATTGATAAACAAAATATGTTTCTCAAATGGCAAAGTGGTAAATAAAGCCAACTATTTTCATTGTTCGTCGGCAATACCACTACTTCATTGGCAATTCCGCTACTTGAAGTAGTGGTTTTACCACTAAACTGCTACTTCAAGTAGTAGTGATTTAGCATGTGATATTACAATTTCGTCCCTTTGATAAACGTGCAACTTTGTTTTTCAAAATGAAAAATTGGGGTTGCCTCCATTTAAAATGATGCATTGAATTAGAAATAAAAGGAGTACATACTACTCGTACATTGCATATATTATACTACAACTCTATTCTCTTCACCCTAATAATATGATATTTAGTAAAATAAGTTCAGTAAAATAAGTTAGGCTCGGCAAAAATAAGTAACTTGAATGAACAAATTAAATACAAGGCCCTGCTCCCTTCACCTTATATTTTGCTAATTTGAAATTTACTAAACTGAAATGATCAAAAATTTAATTTTATTGATTTTCTATTATATTTGTTTTAAAAGTTATTGATCATACTGATTAACAATTATTTTTATTGAACTGAAATTATTTTGTCGAACTGAACTTAAATTATTTATATTGAATATTATTAAGGTAAAGAGAACACAGTCTAACAACAAGATAATAAAAATAATTTAAGTTTAGTAAAAATCTATCTAAGTTAAGCGAAAACAATTTTAGTAAATATATTTTAAACAAAAAAAAAATCTTTAAGTTAAGTAAATATCAGGTAAAAGGTAAAGAGAACAAGGTTTATCTCCATTTTGGAATAATTTCACCATTTCTTTCTAGCACAAGAATCTTTATATATACATACATATATATATATATACATATATACATATATATATACATACATACATATATACATACATACATACATATATATATATATACATACACACACACACACACACACACACACACATATATATATATATATATATATATATATATATATATATATATATATATATATAGGGTTGAGATTCAATGAGAAGGATCTTATAATGAGAAGAATGAGAAGGAATCTTAATCGTCCAAATAAAATCCAATGATTCACATTGCACCTATACAAAATGCATATTTAGTACAATATTATGCATATTTAACTAAAAAATTATGCACATTCAATTTTCACCTATTTTCCCCATTGTTTTTCCTATTTTACATGACTAATTTTTTCTCCTCCATTGAAGCTTGTTCAAAGTTCTAACTTTAAATTATTATTCAAATATGACAAAGTACTTGTGGTCGTGAACGACTTGCGAACAACGAATTCGATGTTAGGAATCTCTAGACTTCAATTCTCAGAAGCGTTCTCTATCAAATTGCATTTCCAAAATTGTAGCGTCAAATATTATATGCATACCATTCGCAATGTATAAGGATGTCTTACCCTAGAAATGATCCTCTTATAACTTAATAAAGATGGATTGTAATAATAATCAATCAATCGCCCGAAGTTTAAATTTTAAGTAGACATACTTAGCTCATCTGGAGAAGATTCAACAATATGCACATTTAATTCAAATACTATGCAGCTTAGTACCGATGATTTCCACATTTGACTCAATAACTATGCACATTCAGTACATTACGCATATATAAATGATATTCGATTTGCTACTTTTCTAAGTATCTGCAGAAATGAATGAAACTCTGTACACATTATGCATAATAATACGCACATTGAAAATCTGTAAAAAAAAAATTTGCACATTCAGTTCAAAAAATATGCACATTCAGTATAAAAACTGTGCACATAAAATCTTTCTCATTCTTTTCATTTTAAGGAATTTCTCATTTGACCCCAAATATATATACATATATATATATATACATATACATATACATATTATATACATATACATATATACATATATACATATACATACATATACATACATACATACATACATATATATATATATATACTAGTTTTGTGCCCGAGCGATACCCAGATTGTTGATAAAATTTAGGATGAATATTTTGACTTGAATGCATGTTAAGTACGGTCATATAATCCTTTTGGATAATATAGGATATTTAGACATACGATATAGTTTAATTTTTGTAGTTTTGTTTGTAAATAGATATCTATGTTAATATTGACTTAAAATTCTTTTTATTGAACTTAAATTTATTTTTTTTCCTAAACTCAAAGTAGTTTTACCAAACTAAAATTATTTTCACATACTGATTGAAACTTATTTCTACCAATTCTGTATTTTTTTTTTGAAAAAAATTAGATATATTATAAATGGATCTTATTTTAAAGAACTATTCAAAATGAATTTTATGATGGAAATAAAATCGAGTTATAGGATATTTATTATTAACTGATTGTAATTACTTTTATTGAACTTAAATTAAAGTACTTTTTCCAATATGGATCTTCTTTGAACCGAGTTATAGGATATTTATTAAAAGTTATGATTAATTTTGTATCTATGAAATATTAGAAGTATATCGATAATAAAACTCTTTATAACAATTTTATTTTAAAAAATCTATCTAAAATTCGCTTACTTAGCATCATGTGTCACAATAGTATCTATTTGTCGCCTATATGGTGTGACACTTGGCGAAAAAATGGAATGCTTATATGGTTGATAAATTATTATAATTAAATTTTTTGGCTTGAATGTTATATATGGTTATGTAGTAATCCCTTTTGATAATGCAAGATATTTAGACATACTAATATTGTACTTTTAGTAATTTTGTTTGTAAATAGAAATCTATGTTATTATTGACTTGAAATTATTTATATTGTTTCTCTACTATTTTTTTAAAATAAATTAAATATAATATAAATGGATCTTATTTTAAAGAACTTTTAAAACGAATTTTATAATGAAAATATAACTGAGTTATAGGATATTTATTAAAAGTTATGATTAATTTTGTATATATGAAATATTAGAATAAATAACAGTATTTCAAACATTTTAATCAAAAAGGTTTATCAAATAAAGAAAGGAAAATTTTGGTTCTAATGATCTCAACTTTAAGTCATTTGATTTTAATAATCCTAACGTTTAATTATATTTTAACAATTCATAATTAAGGGGTATTTGCTTTTGTTGGGCCAAATTATCAAACCCGATTTACGTTGTTCCTAAACACGTGTTAATGCCTAATTTTTTATTATAATTTTTTCAAAAAATACACCACCTCACATTGTCGGCTACCTTTCCCTTCAAGTAACTCCTACAAGTAACCTCTATCACACGGTGTGACCAGTCAAACAGAAAACTTGTTGTTAGAGAAATATTGTGATAATTTATATGGAAAATATAAAAATAAAAGTAGGTGTATTAGGATAACAATTTATGTACTGTAATATTTTTTTAGAGAAAAAATTAATTTTGAGACATTAAGAATCCATTCGTTTAATAATGAGGCAAAGGGAGTACTCCGTAGTATATAAGATTGATGTACATAAGAAGGAAAAATAAATGAGTTACCAGTTGTGTCCCGTGCATCGGTAAGGTGCCTCCTTTGATGCCGGTAGTGATGGATGCGTTGTGGTTTGGTGGCGGTGACGACAGTGATCGCGGTGGTACCAAGAAATAGAATCAAACATATAATATTGAGTTTCAGCATCGTATAAGAGCTGACGAACCCGTAAAATCAACTTGTTATGGAGCTCAATAATAGCTAAAGAATTTGGGAATGGGCTTAACATTCATAAACTAGCTAAAGTCATGCCTTGAGTTAATGAGTAACTTTTCGTGGCCCGGTATGCACCCAGTGATTGTTTGGTTTAGATTGTTGTAGGCCACTCGGCCACACCAGTTTGCAACTTGACCAACTTGAACAAAATAATTTTTGTTTTATGGTACGAGTAAATTTGGCAGAAAAATGTACTACTCATCAGTATGCATGTTACTTGCTCCAAACCTCTTTGGTGTTTTGGAAATACAAGGGAGGGTAAAATAGTCATTTAATATTTATAAAAGTATTTTTATGATAGTGATATTTTTTGTGTATTATTATGCATATACATTATACCATTAGATTATATGTTATCTACTTATCTTAGTAGTATTATTATATCTCATAGTGGTATAATATTTGATTAACAATTTACATACTTATTTGAACCATTAAAGAAATTTTTATACCACTACAATATTTTATGGTACTATTTACATATTTAATGGTACTTTATATTCATGGGGTGCATATAGGCGCATAGCAACTATTTATTTAGCATGTATATAGGAGGGCTTTTTGGGGTTTTCAATTTTTTTTTTTCGTTTGATTTTTTTTCTATAGTGGTACATTCATGTGTACTATTATGCTACAGTGGTACATTCATGTGTACTATTATGCATGTATAATGTACCATTAAGTATAAGTTGTCTTAATAGTACTTTTTGTGTACTATATGCACGTAGTGGTACTTTTTACCATTATATTTTCCACCAAATTTCCTTCTACTTTGGCCCACTTTCATGTGACAAGCTTCAACTTAATTTCAAGAATGTCATCCTATATGTTTGCTAACATATAGGTGCTATGCGCCTATAGTTATTTATATTAATGTTAATATTTACAACTTAGTCATCCTATTTGTTTCAAAACAAATAGGTGCTATGCGCCAATACTTAACTACTTGCTCCAATTTCTCCATCGCAGAGTTTTATGAGGAATAATAGAAAGTAATAAAAATTACGTATAAAGATGACGGAGGTGTTGGTTGGTTGAAAAATAAAAAAAATCTAAATACATAAATGGGTATAAGTGAAGAGGAGAGAGAATTCTTTTACATAATTTAAAAGTCAGTTTAACGAGAAGCCTCTGAAACCCCAATGCTTAACTCTTATTCACTCCTGCCCAAATACTTTAATCCCTCCAAAAATCCATACTACTCCCTCTATCCCCTAATACAAGTCTCTTTTGATTTTTTTGTGCGAAAATTAAGAAAGTTGTAAATCTTTTAAAACTAATGATTAAAAGTATATATGTGCATGTGGGGTTAGAGCGAAAGAAAAAGTAGTTGAGAATAATTAAAGAGATAAAGAGAGAAAGTGTTGGAAATTGGTGCAAAAAAGTAAAGGAAAAATAATGGCAACTCATCAAAAAGAGGGTAATAATGTCAAAAAATACAACCTTTAAATAGAAAGAGGCATTGTATTTTGGTTTACCCAAAAAGGAAATGAGGCTTTGTATTAGGGACGAAGGGAGTACTATCTAAAGGTGTGTTCTATTCACCTACTCCCTCCGTTTCGCATTAGTTGCAACACTTTTCATTTTCGACCGTTTCATATTAATTGCAACACTACTATATTTAAAAAGGACCCACCATTATTTTATAATTTCTTTCCCCCCCTAACTCCACTTTCACAAATATTTTATTAATTCTCTTTTCTACCAACCCCACCCACACTACTATTTTTTATTATTTTTATCTCTTACTAACAATACTTTATATTATAAGCCTATAAGCCTAGTCTATAATTTTCTTAAACTATGTTGTCAAACCTACTGTTGCAATTAATGCGAAACGGAGGGAATAATTTTCACTTATTAGAACTTATCTGAACTTATTAGACCTTATTTTAGTTGTAATATTAACTTGGACAACCCTTATTAGAATTTATTTTCTAAACTGAATTTATCTGAATTTAATTGAAATAAGGTGAACAAAACAGACCCTAATTTAAATTCTAAAGAAATTGACGGACTGACGGAATATGATGGAGATTGTAGAATACATCGGTAAACAAAAGGGATTAAACAAAAAAAAGTATTTAACTTGTATAACAGGTTACCGGTCATTAGGATCATTTTAAGAAGATTTAGTAAAAAATTGGGATTATTCTTATAGTTAATTCATAATTGGGATTATTTTGAGCAAAACGATAAAATTTGAGATTATTCCCATCAATTTTTCCAATTGTAAATTTCTTTGTTAAATTATCAAAATTCCCCACCTTAGCTTTACTTTTTTGATTGATTTTTTGCTTTTGTGTGACATTCACACTTTTGAGTGTCATCTTACCTTAATGCTTTTCTTAACTTTTTTCATCTTCTTCAAAAAAAAAATTATTAATATGTTGATTAGTTTTGATGTTTGTTTGTTATTTTCATGTCCATGTTTATTTAATTGATATTGGTACTTTTTCATGTATTTTGGATTTTGACATTAGCATTTAGTGAATGGTAAATCAGAGTAATATTGAGGAATTTTTTGAGATTACGGTTTTGGACGATTTATAGGATCAAATTTATTTGCTCGATTTAAGAAGCATACATGTTTGATACAACTATACAAGTCATACAACAATACGAGTATCACATGATACGTGCCCTCCACAATAAAAATAGGTTGCTTGGTTAAATGAAGAGTCTGTTCTGTACACCCGGATGTACCATACACTCGAGGTTATTTGTTCATTAATTTTTGCTCATTTAATAAATTAGTAAATATTTTTGCTCATTTATTAAATGAGCAAAAATTAATGAGCAAATAACCCCGATAGTACAGTATACCCGGGTGTATATAACAAATTCTAGGTTAACTGAGAATACTTAATTTTCAATTGTACATATTTTATACTATGAGAATATATGTAGTGAAATGTCTGCATGATGGATTTTTTTTTTTTTTTTTTTTTCTGAACTCTTATTAAATATGCTATTGCAAAATTTAGAACAAACTTGCTGTATTAACCAGAAAGTCCTACGAAACTCTTTAACTCCTTGTTTGTAGAGGGCACAGGCCAGATATCAATAGCAGATATTTTCTTAGGAGCAGCTTTTGCACCTCTTGCAGAAATATGGTGACCCAAATACTCCACCTTGCCAATTGCAATTATGCAGCATACATCTTGTTTTGCTGCATCAAACTAAACATTTGAGTCAAATGTTTCTAATGCTCAGTTAAGCACAAATATAGGGATTACTCGATCGGCCAGGGATTACTAAGTCGGCCAGGGGTTACTCAGTCAGGGATTACTCGTCGGTCAAAAATTACTCATCGGTCAGGGGTTATTTGGTGTGTGTCAGCTAATCACACGTGTGGCTAGCCGCACACAAAAGTTGCTGCAGTTTAGTCTCTGCTTTACACCAATCAAACTAAACAAGAATAGGGAACTTATCTTTCTTTTATTCAATTATTCCACACACAATCTCTAAGTGTTGTCTTTAAATCAAACTTTTTAAAAGTCAGTTGCGCAAAAGTGAAGTAAAGTTATACTGATTTAAATAAAATTACTTATGCTATTTTGATAAAGCTACTATATTTAAAAGAGTATGAAAAATGAGTGAAAATAACTCTATTACCTTTATAAAACTTACAGTAAAATAGTATAATATTTAAAGCTACCCTATACAAGGTTAAATGTTATCCTAAAATAATAGATATACATCAATATTATTTTAATACAAAATCTTAAATAAATTTGATTTATATTAATTTATTGTGGACCACTAATATTAAAGACATTATGTTAGTTTTATTAATAAAAAAACAGGTCACTATAAATTCACTGGAATAATCCCACCTTTGGGCCATTCAAAATTAATAATCCCACATTTCGATTATTATTTAATAATCCGACCTTTGGGTGCTTTTAATTTTTATTGGTCCCAACCGGTCATGTAACCTGTTATAACAGGTTACATGACACGTGGCGGCCTGTAATTGGTCAGAACATTTTTTTTTAAAAAAATTAAATTAATTTAAAGAAAAAATAAAAAAAAAGAATTAAATTTTTTTTTTTAATTTTTTTTTTAATTTTGGACAAATCAAATTGTGACACGTGTAAATTAAACTTAAAAAAAAAAAATTTACCTACCCAACCGGTTCTGGTCAAATGGGACCAATAAAAATTAAAGGCACCCAAAGGTCGGTTTATTAAATAATAATCGAAAGGTGGGATTATTAATTTTAAATGGCCCAAAGGTGGGATTAATCCAGTGAATTTTTCCATAAAAGTTACTGTATTATGTTAAAATAAAAGTTATTGTGTTTTTTATAAAGGTCATAAGAGGTTAATTTGTTTTAATGAAAATTTTCAATATTGATCAATATGAATAATAAAGGTCATTATATTCAACATAACGTCGTACTCTATGTTCGCAATATTATTAAATAATACACAAGTTTTAATAAATGTCATCATGTTAAAATTAAGGTTATTATATTTTATATTTGGATCACAATATTCAATATAAGGTTAGTTGCTCGCGTATGGACCTCAGGTCCACACAAATTTTTCCTTATTTTAAATCAAGTGTGCATAAAAGTTTTTTTTTGTTTAATTTATAACTTTAATCGTAAAAACAATACTCCGTAATTGTTATATATATAAAAAAATAATTTAATTTAATGCTCTTTAATTGAAAAAAAAAAGACATCAGCCATCTAGTTGAAAATGGGTTGGTAAAATGAGCACAAGTGAAGCATAGAATGCAAATTAAGAGAAGCATTTAATTTCAAGAAATTTGGTTTAATAATAAAGAACAATAATATTATCACTTAAATCATCATAAATTCAGAGTGAACTTTGTTAGTTACTACCTCTGTGTTTAAATAATCGAAACGTTGTCAATGCAAAACTTTGACTGATTGATAATATCTTTAATTATCATTAAGTAAAAATTTATAAAAATTGAATATTAATTAACTATTCATTGAAACGATTCCAGCCAATACTCACAAGACTATATTTATTCTTATGTATTAATCACAAACATTACTTAGTGAAATAGATGAATAATGCTAAAAATCAAAATATTTTATTTATTTAA